TTTGTGATTTATTGTTAAACAAAAAAAAAATTTCGTCAACTGAGTACATTTCATTATATTGATCGGTTTGTAAACAATATAATTTATTGTCACAAAGTAATATTTGTTGTTAAGTAGTAGTAGTATTTAGTAAAATTTATTGTTTATAATGTAATCATAAAATAAAAAAATTGACAATTCAAATTGTCAAACATCTGACATCAATATGATAAAACACACACGTAATATATATTCTTGCATTACGTGTAGCCTAACTTTTAGGGGTGGCCTGAAAAATGTATTATATTTTTGCAAAATTTTGAAGTACATTTGATTCGTAGAATCCCATTGAGTTTCCTATGGCCCGTCTGACGATTCACCACCCAGTATAGCTGTTTTATTCCAAGTAATGCGCTCATTTAATCGGTGATGATAACAAATTTGCTTTGATTTATAGAACCACATTTTTTCATGGCCTGGTGAATTGCCGTTCTCCGGTATATATATAACAATTCGTTGGGATTCGTATGGTAGACTTGACGATTTCGTAGATGTAGGCTGCAACAGTCCTTCATCACATTTGTGATGAAGCATCAGTGAAGAATTGATGGTTTGTTCGGTATTTGGATATTACATTTTTATAAACTTGCTGTATAAGGAAAGGATGTGTGGAATGTTTCGGGAGTTCTTTTAGAGACATGTCTATTTTTGGAGGTTTGATCAACCAAGGAGGAAAATTTACATGATTAGGCAAAGTTAGACTGAACTGTTCTAAATTCAGATCAATACGTTTTATTCGCTGGTTCGCTGGACACCAATACTTTTATTTATTAACTGAAACCTCTTTGGACACAAAGAGTTTGGAATTCTCGACTTGTAACACACTGCTTTCAACTGGACTGCTTGTTTTCGATGGTAAAAACACAATGATCACAACTTTCTCCTTCAATTTTACATCGACTCTTTCTTCTCCTCCTATCGTTTTCTCATAGCCAATCACACAACATTCATTCTCACCATACCACTTTCCAAAAAACCCTACTTAATTTTTTTTTTTTAAGAAATCAACGATATTTTATACAACTTGGATTTTTTTTAATTTCTAGGAGACAATCGGAATATTTTTTTATTTCCTAACACAAAACCTTATCTCTAAATAAAACATTTAAACCTTGTCCAACAAATCGCTTCTTTAAATTTTTTATCCGAAACAAGTATTATCTCTGATAACACCCAACCCTTTGTTTATTTAAGCCCCAAATTTCTAGGACCTATTATTAAATCGTCCGGGTCTTTTGATATGTCCCAACCATCCCAGTCTTTATGATTTTATGATCCTACGATATTCAGTTCCATACATCTTCTTTTCTTCCCCACACTTGGAGAACGGCTTGTTCGGATTTGTTCATCATCCATGTTTCACTGGAATATAATGCTATAGGTTTTATGACTGTCTCATATAATCTTATCTTAGCCTTATCTCATAATTCCCGCTTAAATTTATGTATAATCGTTTCTTTCTCGCTTTCGCTTCTAGCCTTTTTAGTATTTCTTGTAATTCTTGTTTTCTTTTGGACATCACTTCTATGCCATCAATATATCATCTATAGATTTGGTCATTTTTTCCTTTATGTATAATCGTTTCTTTCTCGCTTTCGCTTCTAGCCTTTTTAGTATTTCTTGTAATTCTTGTTTTCTTTTGGACATCACTTCTATGCCATCAATGAATTCTAGGCTTGACTTGTTAATTTCGGCTTCTTTGATGACAATTTTAAGAAGTACACTAAACAACAATGATTACAGTGGGTCCCCTATCGTATCTCGTCGCTCATTTTAAACTTACCTGTTTTTCCCATTGAGTGTCACTTTCATCGTTCGTACAAATTTTCCACTAATTTCTATTTCACGTAGTGCCTTGTATACTTCTTTCCATTTTACTCTGTCAAAAGCTTGTTTAAAGTCCATGAATAGGGTCACTGTAAATTTCCTATATCCGTAGCTTTCTGTCTGTATTCCGCGCAGCAGAAAATTTTTATCTACTGTGCTGCGTTTTCTCCTGAGTCCACATTAATATGTTTCTGTCATTATCCATTTTTAGTGATATCTTATCTTGTATATCATCAATATCATCAACCTGTATGCGCCCACTACTGGACATAGGTCTCCCTCAGCTCTTTCAGTCTCCAGTTATTGCTAACACGCTTTAGGTCGTCAGTCCATTTAGTTAGTGGGCGTCCTCTGCACCGTATTGCTTCTTGTCTTGGTCTCTACTCGACAATACGTTTTTTCCATCGGTTTTCTGATAATCTAGCGACGTGTCCTGCCCAATTTCATTTTAACATTTCATTTTTAACTCGAATTTTTCGATAGCGTCTGTTCTTTTGATCTACGACGTATTTCTTCGTTTGGGATTCGGTCTCTCAGAGAGACCCTTATCATCTAGCGCTCCATAGCCCTCTGAGTCAAGCGAATCTTATTCACTACCTTTTTTGTGAGTTTTAATGTTTCCGCTCCATTAGTGAGCACAGGTAATACATATTGGTCAAAGATTTTCCTTTTGAGGCATATGGATAATTCTGATTTAAATACATAGTTTAATTTACCAAACGCTGCCCAGGCTAATCCTATGCGACATGGGAGCTAACGTGTCTGGTTATCTCTGCTCAACCGAAGTTCATGTCCCAAGTACTTATATGATGTAGTCTGCACAATATCCATTCCACCAACAGCAATATTTTAATTTAGCACCAGATTAGTCATTATTTGCGTCTTGTTCATATTAATCATTAGTCCGATCTCTAAGGAAGCGTGATTTAATTTTTCAAACATTAATATACGATCGGCTATAAGGACGATGTCATCTGCAAATCCCAAATGACTAAGCTTCTCTTCATTTATGTAGTCTTAGTCTAGCTGTGGCATTTTGGTAGATATATTTGATTATGTTAGTGTAGCGATGGTCTATTCGACATTTCGTCAATGCTTTTAACATTTTCTGATGGCTTATGGTATCGAATACTTGCTCGTAGTCGATAAATATCAGTGCCAATGGCTTGTTGTATTCTATCAGGTCCTTTATTACTAGTAAGTTATCGTTAGTGCTGTATCCCCTTTTAAATCCAGCTTGTTCTCTAGGCTGATAGAAGTCTTATTTAGGATGGCAGTTTTTTAGATTTGTTATGTCCCCTTGTCTATTTATTAAAATAATGACTGCATTGTTCCATTGAGAAGGTATTTTTCTCTATGTACTGTAAGTATTTTATATACAAGATCTTGTAATCCAGACATAACCTTTTGTTGCCGTTTTGTGAATTTGGCACAGTATGGTTTCGATCTATTCTTTCTTGTTTCCAAATTTCTTTCAGCAACTTTTCCAAATGCCTAATTAGTACTTTCCTTCATATTTGCGCATTGTAGCTGTTACTTCATCCTTTCCTGTGCTCTTATTTTTCTTTAGTTTCTCTATTATTTCTTTTTTAATCGGCGGTGTTTCCTCTGTTCGTTCTTGAACGATATTTTTCTTAAGTTCTTGTTCTTATTATATTCTGTTGTGGATTTTTCCACAAAACAATTCACAGAAAATAGCTTCCAATCAAAAATATTGACAGTATTTTTTATATTCGAGTCTTCAATTTTTAGCGAGCATAAATACACTCTACACCCCTTGCGCAATGCGCCCATGGAAAGGGGGTGTAAAAACACGAATAAATTTAAAAGTAATTAAAAATGTACATTAAGGGCTTAAAGCTCTGTTTTCTTCTGGAATTGTTGTTTATTAAACTTCTCCGGAAGCATATTCTCGCTTACAGGTTTTAATTAAGAAAATGTCTTTTACTTGTTGTACTTGTTGCCGGGGGTGGTGTAATAAGTGTCATGGCGTATTTTACACCTTTTCTTAATTTGTTGTTGGAATTAATAAAATATTGCAACCCTACGGTGTTCAGCGTCGTTATAATTAATCTAAATTTTGATGGCTGTGTATAGGTAAATTTACGTCAAATTATGAATTTAGGGCGGTAATTTCGGTATATCGAACGTGGTGAATAACTACCGTGATATTTTATATTATCTTGTTGCTTCTCCAGTTTATGTCTTATCGTCAGAAAATAAGGAAGGTGGAGATCAATATGGCCATAATTATTTTTCAGATGCTCTAAGCAGTTGGTTTGATAGAAGCTCAACTAATGTTTAAAGTTTTTGAGGCAATTGCGTACTTCTTTCATCACATCTGTTTTTGTCGGTTTGTGGGAATTAATAATTAGCATAAACGCCGAATAGCCTATATACCTACTATACACTAACCTACAATAAGTTAACCTACAATAATCTTCTTTTTCTTCTTCATAACCACTAGAAAGTGGGATAAACTCAAATATCATGAAATATTTTACTAAATCATTGCGAAAAAGGCACATTTTGATGGTAGTCTTTATAGACGTCCAATTATTATTAAAAATTACTCAGTTTTTGTAAACATTCTTCTATTAGTAATTTCATACTAAATCATGAGGGAAACACCGCAAAAAAACCTTATCGTAACACTATTCCGACATGGTATTTAGCCTTACATTTAGTTTACTCTCAATAAACAGCAAATTCTGATTTTATACGTCTGTTATTTACAAACTTAAATTATGTATTCCCGATATGTTATTCACTTGCTAATTGTGATAGTTTCTGTTTATTGATTTCCTCTTTTAGTATGGGTAACCAGATCCTACTGCTTTTTACAGAACAAATTTTTATATACAGCAAACGATGCAATATATACCTATATAACTAATTATTTTTCTCTTTCTGCTCTCTCTTACCTATAGCATTACATATGTAATGATTGTGCAGATTGACTCCCATATAAATTTGTAACGGCGAACGCGTGTATAGAAGTATAACTTCTACCGGCAGTCCCACCGGACTGCCACACCCGTTTTATTTTTTGTTTATATTTGTACAAGTAAGATTAAGTAGAATTTTATATTACTTTCAAAGAAAAATACAAATAAAGCAGAATTATTTAATATCTTTTAATATCATTTTTCCACATGTTCAAGTAACTATTTCATAAATGGATATTTTGAAATGCCGCTATTAAACAACATTTCAATTTTGTGGTTATTTTTTCTTTTTCCGCGAATCCAACTACATATCCTTTTAATTGTTATAAAGTAAAGAATCTCTACCACGCTAAGAAAACTGAAACCCATGCAAAGTCCAAGTAGTCCTCCGACATTGGCTGAAACATAAAAAAGAGATCAAGTTTTAAATTAGTAACATATTATGTATTATGTATACAGAGTAGCCCAAAAGTCTGGAAACGGCCAATTATCTCGTAAATTGCTAGTCATAATTGTACCAAATTTGAGGTACACCTATTTTGGGATACGGAGATTCCATATTTGATATTTACAATGTTGCCAGATTTTCCGTTTCTCTTATATTATTAGTAACTTCGGTTTTTCAAATTCATCACCCTGTATATTTAGTCATTATTGGAATCTCCTATTCAATACGAGTTTAACCATATGTAACACTTATGATTTTATGTAGTCTATATATTTTTAATTACATTAAAACTTAACAATTGATAGATTACAACATTTTTTAGCATAATGGTTACTTTATCAAGTGTTCAAAATGTGCTTCATTTGTGAGTTGACAGTACCCTAATCGATGGTAGAATGCATCTACCACGTTTCTCCATGATTGTCTAGAAATTATTCGAGATTCATCGATAATTCGTTGCCTTAGCTCTGCAAGACCTGCTGGTTTAGTTTTGTAAACTGAATTTTTCAAGTATCCCCAATAAAAATAATCTTTAGGATTAAAATCAGGTGAACGTAGAGGCCATTCAATTCTACCTCGTCTACCAATACATCGTCCGGGAAATATCTCATATAAATAACGCCGAACATTTACACCAAAATGAGATGGAGCTCCATCTTGCTGAAACCATATCTGATTAAAATTGGCCCCAAATAAGTTTCTCAGTGTAGGTACAATTTCATTTCTAAGTAACATTTCGTAACTATCTGACGTTAAATTTCCTTCGATGAAAAATGGCCCAATTAACTGAGTACCTACTATACCTGACCATACATTTAATTTTTGTGGTTTTTGAGTATGGTTTTCACGCATCCAGTGTGGATTTAAGTCACTCCAGTACCTTAAATTGTGTCAATTTACACTTCCACACAGTGTAAAGGTTGCTTCATCAGAAAAACATATTCTGTTAACGAAATTTTTATCATTTTCACATCATTAAGTGAAGTTATCTTCACTTAATTCTTGCAATAAGTTAATCTTGTATGGTTTAAATTTATTCTTACGTAATACACGTAAGACTGAAGAACGACCTATATCATGTACTTGTGCAACCTTACGTGAGGATGTATGTGGATCTTCTACAAAACTTTGCATTATATCTACAGTTTTGTTGTCATTCATAACTCTTTTCGGTCTACCTGATCGGTATCTATCTTTTTATCTACTTCTCCAGATTTCTCAAATCGCTTTACAGTTTTTTGTATCGTCGCCTTATGAATAGGAGAACGGTTTGGGAAAGTGTCATTGAACAAGTTGGCTACTTCACAATAAGATCTTTTTCTGTCACCGTACCCTCTCATCATTAGAATAGTAATTCGTTCTTTTTCGTTAAGAGCATTTTAGAGAAGCAATTTGTTTTGTACAACTTTTCGAAACACAACTACTGTCAGTTTTAGTTAATAATGTAAATGGTGAACAAATGTCAAAATCACAAATTTATTAAAATCTACATATTTTGAACTGTTTTATGTATTTAAGACCTTCCAGACCACATAAAATCATAAGTGTTACATATGGTTGAACTCGTATTGAATAGGAGATTCCAATAATGACTGAATATACAGGGTGATGTATTGGAAAAACCAAAGTTACTAATAATATAAGAGAAACGGCAAATCTGGCAACATTGCAAATATCAAATATGGAATCTCCGTATAATCTCCGCCTCTCTGTATAATATATAGTTTGTTTATAAAGTGTGAAAACGGTCCATTATCTCACAACTTAAATATTTTCAGAATTATCTGACAGGTCGATTAGAATTTTTGTTTTTTAACCTTTTTAGAAAAAAGGATAACTTTTACCCCCAGTCACTAACATCTCATTGAAACTTCAGTAGTGTAAATTAAACCATAGCTTGCATTTCCTAAAATTTATTTTATAAAGAAAATGATTAAAGAAGACATTTCATATTAACGACAAACAAATAACATAATTACAACAAATGCTAAAATGGAGTGGACTATTGTACGATACAGAAGGTCGATTGTTTATCTACTAAAGATAACCAATTCCATTCAAAGGATAATGGCTTTGTAGATCAACAATACAATAAAATAAAGTGGTAACGACTGTACTCAGTATATTGCCAAAAACCAAGTAGGCTGTGAAGACATGTCAAATTCCTTAGCAACCAGACAGTAACTTCGTGGTTACCATTGTATATGTCAATATTAAATTGATTTGTTGTGTCAAATCGATTTAGAAGTCTGCACTAGTATCTTTTTGAGAAATATTACCCTAATAGAAATTATTTTTGAAATTACGATGGTGCTGTCATAAAAACAGCGAATAGAAGGTTTCATGATCTTAGGCTGCGGCGATCGTAATAAAAGTATGGCGGAAGTATGCGATATATTTAATGAAATAAAATTTCCTGATTTTTATGGAATTTAAAACTTCGCATTGTTTTCCTAGTTGTTCGAGAACTTGTTCGTTTGTTTTGCAATCCATCCATGATATTTTCAAAATACGTCGGTAACACCACACTTCGAATGTTTCTAGGTTTTTAATGTTGGATTTTTTAAGTATCCAAGCTTCAACCCCATACAAAAGGGTAGAAAAAATATAACATCGAAGCATTCTTATCCGGAACGATATCGCGATTACAAAAAAGTTTTCTCATTCTATTAAAAGTTGACCGCGCAATTTCAATGCGGCATCTTATTTCTTTTGTCTGATCAGTATCTTCTGTGATCCATGCTCCAAGGTATTTGTACGAAGATATTTGATCAATTTCCGTATTATCTAGTACTAGCTTAACTTTGATGTTTTGTGCTTTTGTAAATACCATGAACTTGGTTTTCTTCAAATTGATTTTTAGTCCATAATCGTTGCAATATATATTTAGTTGTTCAGCAAGGTGTTGCAGTGCTTCTAGTGTTCCTGCCAGAAAGACGTTGTCGTCAGCGTATCTTATGTTATTAAGTTTCTCACCGTTTATTATAAGGCCCTCACTGATCTCGGCAAGCGCTAATTCTGAGATGGCTTCACTGTATAAATTCAATAACGAGGGTGATAAAATACACCCTTGGCGGACCCCACGGCGAATCTGGATATCCTCGGTCAGTACATTTTCAACTTTCACTTTTACTATTTGGTTCCAATAGAGGTTACATATGATTCTAATGTCTCTACTGTCTATGTTTGTATTTAATAAAATTTCTTTAAGCCGATTATGCTGCACTCTGTCAAATGCATATACTTCCTGATTAATATCTAAGCATCTCTGCGAAAGATCATTTACTGCAAACAGTGCATCTCGTGTTCCCAGTCCTTTCCTAAATTCCATTTGTGTATTACTTATGCCTTCATGTAATTTCTTATGTATTCTATTGTGAATTACTTTTAAAAACAATTTCAAGACATGACTCATTAAGGCTATGGTGCGATGTTCATTGCACTCCTTTGCATTGGTTTTTTTGGGAAGCAGTATGAATGTTGATTGAAGCCATTCTTTAGGTATTATACCTGTTCTACATATGGTATTGAATAGATCCAAAAGAAGATCAACAGATTCAGTATTCACAATTTTGAGTAATTCGATAGGAACTTCATCAGGCCCGGGAGATTTACCACCTTTAGCTTGTTTCATTGCATATTCAATTTCTTCTCGTATAATGTCAGGCCCAGTATCATCCTTAAATTCTTTTAGTGCTTCTGTTCTCTCTTTGTCTTCAAAAAGTTGTGCTATATATTGTGTCCATCTCTACAAGTTTTGGTTAATATCTGTTATAAGTGCACCACTTTCATCTCTTAGTTGCCTAGTTTAAAGTGTTTTTTTCATTTCTCTTAATTCTCTAATTAAAGTTGTGTTTAAAATTAAAATTATGTTAAAAAAGTCATATTTTTCTCAATTTCTTCTAGTTCTTGGCACTGCTCATGTAACATTCTCGCCTTAGCTTCTTTTAGTAGCAAAAAAGTATTGCAAACCTACGTAGTTCCATTTTTAAAGGCAACATTTTCAGATATTAATAATGCTGGTCAAATAGATCCGACCATTTGGTTTCATCAGGATGAAGCAAGTCCACATTATGCTGTAGTGGTTAAAAATATTCTAAATACAACTTTTCCCAATCACTGGATTGGACGACGCGGCCACATTTAATGGCCTGCTAGATCGCCAGCTTTGAATCCCATGGACTTTTCTATTTGGGGTTATTTGAAAAGTAAGGTATATGTAAACTGACCTACCAATTTGGTAGACCTCAAACAGAGAATTCGTACTGAAATGCAAAAAATTACACCAGTGATGTTGTCAAACATAACCCAAAAATTATATATATATATATATATATATATATATATATATATATATATATATATATATATATATATATTATGATTTATGCTATATTTCCGAATGAAGTATAAATGTATTATTACAGTTGGTCTTCAAAAAGGTGCTACTCAAAAAGCCAAAATTTATTATTATGAATGTATTTTAAAATATATTGGATTAGAAGTGAGTGTAGTTTCTTAATGAAATTCTATCTTTCTAAAAGATGCCAAGCTGTTAAACTTAATCAAAATATTTCTTTGTTTCCAAATCTTAATCTGGTGTGCCTCAAGGATCTATATTGGGACCAATTTTATTATCTATATAAACGTCCAATTTTCGTCTTGTTTTTGTCCTGTTCACAGCATTATGACGCAGACGATAGCCAACTCTATATATGATTTTATCTGGATAAGTGTGAACAGGTGGTATATCTACTTCGTCAGCAAATTTTTCTCAAAATCATTGTTTAAAATTGAAGACATCCAAAATTCAGATTGTCATATTTGGCAAGAATGTTTTTAGGAATATTTAATGTACACAAATATTATTTAGGTATACATATGCAGAAAAGAAATACGACAATGAAGTAGACTTTTTCTAGTCAGTTAAAACAGACACTTAGAAGTCTGAAAGTAAATAAAGTTACGTATATCAATCGTGATTTTAACGTGAAAATTGGAAAAGGTCGAAGATCTGACTTGGTATAAAGAGAGAGCAATGAGCGAATGTGGACTATAGAAAACATAGGCGAAAGTTCTGTCAAGACCATTATATAATAATGACAAACACCTGGTTTTAACTACGCAAGAGAAGGCTTTATACATGGAAATGACCAAAAGATAATCCACACCACGTAATCGGAAATTAGAGAAATCAAAAATTGTATTATAGTAAATAAGAGATTCAAAAATAGCTCCAACAGAGTATCGACTTTTCCTAGTGCAGATATCGGTTCAGACCACAATCCTCTAATAGCTGACGTCAGCGTTAAGAAAAAAAAATTCAAAAAATCCCAAAATAAAAAAATAAATACAACAGAAGATAACAAAAACTCCATGGAAGGAGCTCCATCTATTGCAACGGAACACAGTTTTGGCAAATCTAAAGTAATTCTGCTAAACGTTCATAATCTCTATCAACATAAATAAATTTAGCAAGTTGCTCCATACCACACACGAACCTACTTCCGTAACGGTTATAGGCAATAAAAATTCAACGAAAGAGTCTGTCACGGACAAAGACAGATTTTGCATAGCTTTATTCAATCTCATGAGAGTTACGAATTCTGAGGCCTTTACAACGCACTATTTTACAAATTCTCCTTTATCAAATGATTTTGACTTTTTTGCGATCTACCTAGGAAAATATTTATCGTTTTCTTATGAAAACTCTTTTTGTGTCTATAATCTGTTTGTTATTCAAAATCACATACTAAAATAAACAAATCTAGAACAGGTTATACACATTTTTTATAATGTAAATAAACTCAAGAATGAAACGCTTTTTTGAAGTCAAGCAAAAACAATTCATATTCAAATTGAAAAAAAAATTAATTGACAAATGTATTGCCCTCTGTGAGTAATGTTACAAAGTATCGGGTTCACTTTGCTGATCTTTAAGATATTTTCAAAAGAGGGCGCTAGCAGTGTAATAGCTGAAATATATAAATCCTACATAATCAGTAGTTCAGTAATTGGTTTACAAACAGGATAAATCGCAAAAAAATGTAAAAGTATTTAGTGACTAACAATTGTTTTTTAGTAGATTATTATCATACTTACCAGTACATTTATGAAGTATGATTATGATGTGCTGAATAGATCGAATTAATAACAGACAAGCATTGGCGTGTTTAAGATTTTTTCTTATGACTGCCCAGGTCGTTTTTTTAAATGATTTTTTTTTTTTATTATAGACTTGATCATTTTTATATTTTCATACGAATAATTAACTTTGTGAGTATTCTTGTGACTATTTTAAAATGTTATTGCGGGTTATGAGTCAAAGAGTATGGATTCTTTATAGTCCATTTCCATCATATTGATAGCACATTATGTATGCAAATCCCTAAACTGTTGATACGGGTGACTCAATGAAAAATAGATATTTGTCAACAAGTTTACAGAAGTATATAGGAAAACAATTTTAAATTGAGTATGACCACCAGGTATAAAGGTTGAAGCAGAATAGAATACAATAGTTTGGAGGATTACTAATCCCTAAATAAAGTTGCCAGTGTCGGAGTGATGGATATTAACAGGTACTAATGAATTTGCAAGAAATGTAAGATGTTTATTTTATTGGTTATATATAAAATAATTTGTGGCCGTAACAGTAGCCGATCTGTAAAAAAATGAATATTATTTTAATCAAATTCCATTTCAGATTCACTGCTTTCTTCAGAATCTAAGTAATCTTCAACTCCAATGTTAATTATTACCGGTTCCAGCATTGCATCAGTCATATTATCCAAATTCCACATTTTATTTTCTTCCTTGTGAGCATGACTAACAGCATTTTTCCAATTTTCTTGAGTTACTTTTGATAAGGAATGTTTTAATAATTGTTGTAAGTCTTCTAATTTAAAAGTTTTGTTGTTGCGTCAGACTTCACCCTTTACTTGAGACCATATATTTTCTATCGGATTCAGATCACAGTGGTATGGGGGTAAACGTAAAATAATTATATCACGGTTTAATGCCATTTCATCAATTATATATTTTTTGTAAGCTGCTTTATGTTGCCTTACAATAAGTAATAATTCCTTTTTATGTCGAATTCTCCTTGTACTAAATTGCGTGTTTATCCAACCATTCGATTATCTCTCCTTTTTTCCATGCCATTGATGGTAATTTTTCTGCTAGTCTTGAATGGTAACTAGCATTATCCATGACTATGACAGAATTTTTTGGAATTAAATCCAACATTTGCTCAAAATATTCTTCAAAAACGTCAGCAGTAATTTCCTCGTGGTAATCTTTGGTTGATTTTGGGGCAAAACTTAATAATCCCACCATTGACAAAGCGGTATTCGTTTCCAATATGGGTTATTATGAGTCTGCGTCCTTTTCCAACGGGAATATTGTTTATTCCAGTAGATACACCTTCGATGAATGCCTGACGGGAACTTTTCACATTTTTATCAACCCATAGATATGGTACAGTATGACCTTCATTTAGCCAAGTCTCGTCCAAATAAAAAATTGTTTTCCCTTCTTCTCGGTACTTTTTAATAGTTCTTAGATAATCTCGTCTCCAACATACAATGTAATCTTTTTCAATTAAAACGGATTTTCTTCTATTCTTTTGCCAACGAAATCCCATCTCTCTCAATAGTCCCCATAATTTCTTGTTGCTTATGATTGGTAACTCTTTGTTAAAAAAAAAATGAGTTGACGCTGCGTCTTATCATGTTTTTATGTATTTCTTCAATTTCTAAGGGTTTACTCCCTCCACTCTTCTTGGGAGTTGAAACAGTTTCTCCTTTTCATTCTTTTAGGAATCTATAAATTGTTGCTTCTCCAACCCCTGTCATATTTGAACACATGTTAACGATTTTGCGAACATTACTTAAAGGGCATTTAATATTATATTTTTCTGTCTTAGACTGAAGGCACCTTTAAAACTACACTAAACCGGGATAAAACCTGTTGTCGACGTCATTTCTAAATGCAAATAACAAAATATCGACACCAAAAACGTAGGTAGGTAAGACATGAACAATGTACATCTACAAACTAAATGGAAGATGCAAACAATTTCTAATTTATATTATTGGCATAAGCTATAATGTGGCATAAAAACTACTTAAACTATTATTAGTGAAGCCTTATCAGTAATTCCAGATAATTGTTCAAAGAAGGTATTCTTTTTGTGTCAGGCGATAACTTGTATAGAAAACAATAATCACCTTTAAATTACTGTTTACATTAATTTATTTCGTGAAACATTGAATTCTCTCGTTAATCACCCGTGTATAATTAACAATAATCGTGTGGCATATATACCGACGTTTTTTACGCACAAAAAAAGTATAGTGAGATTAGTGGACCCTTATTTTACAGAAGATTTTTTAAAAGATAATGAATTGTTGACGGCATCTTAAAATATTAATTTTTTTTATTTATTTCAAAACAAGTATAGGGTGACGCCTATGGTTTTTTGACCTGTTGAGGATTTGCATACATAATGTGCTATCAATATGATGGAAAAGGACTATAAATTCTTGCATTAAGCTCTCACATCCATCTAATTTCTTTCCGATTGTTTACGTTTTCTAGTCTTTCTAGTAGAATTTCTTCGAACTGATCTTTTTCTTTCCCTTTACAGTCGTCGATATGGACACATAATGCTATTAAGATTATACCACTTCCTATGCGCTATGCAGTATATAAAGCATAGTGTGATATGTCCATTTTCCATTGGTTTAGTTCCGAAAAAGTTTCTTACCTAACCTAACTTAACCTGAAGTTTTTTGTTTAGTACTTATTTACCAACATCCTGTATATTTTTCTGAATCTAATAATACTTAACTAAAGTCTTGTAAAAATATAATACAATAATAAAAAAATTGTCAAACTTACACAAAATCTCAGTAAACCCATACAATTCATCCTTCACCAACTTCGAAAATTGAGAATTTGAAAAGAAGAAATGGACCACAGCCATATTTGTCCTAAAATATTAATAGATCTCAGTTGTACGTAATTAAACCAAACACAAATACTTTTTATAGACAAATGTAGACCTATTTAGATTTTCGTACATCAAATGTGTGGTATTGATGATCATATCCTCCCCAAAAGTAGTCACGTTCAGTTCTTTAGATAATTGACCAAAAGATTTCATGTCTGTGAAGACCAACTCGAAGCAACCTGGCAGACATCTGCAGCTAGTGCTGTAAACAATGTTTTCATTTATTAATATTTTATAGTTTGTTTAGAAGTTGTAGAGAAAAAATTAAATTAAGTTGTCGGCCTGCTTGATTGGGCTTGGTTGAAAGATATACACAATAAAAATATGTTTAAATTCTACTCAATACTAACTGGATATTGAAGTTATGTCGTTTAGTTTATTTACTTATCTAGTTTTTCCAGTTTTAAGTTTGATCAGTGAGTGTTTTGTGAAGGGTTTTTTTCAAAAATAAATTATAGACAAGAGTTAAAAAGGGTCGCAATTAATATCGACTTTTGAAAACTAACATGTATTATACATGGTTATACAAAAACGATAAGAAAGTCAATTTTTTATTTTCAGTTGAATATTGTTTCTTAAAATTGTCACCAATTAGATGTAACAACTTAGCACGAAATCACAGAATAATAAAACAATCAGAATGCCCACTCTGCTTGTCAAGATAAGTACGCGCATCTCGTTCGCACAGACAGAATCAGCCTTGTTTTAAACGGAACCAGTGTTGTTCAGTGAAATTTTATCTGGTGTACGTTAAAAAGTTCAGTGGTAGCGTGTGTTGGGCAGTTCACTATTTGGGATTTGTGTTATATATAAATAATATTGTTTGACATGACATAAACATTTGTTTTTTATCTCTAGTAATTTCCCACTTAATTAATAAATTCTATTATCAGTTGTTTTTTGATTTTACAGCTAAGAATTACTTAAATTTGTATTTCCAATTTAAAAGCGTGTTACTGCAACTATATTTAACAGAAGAGAATCGTTGTGTAATCAAAAGTTTGCATCTTAGGTGATGTTCACTACTCTATCAGAAATTTTTTATATGTATCTATTTCTAGTACTGTAAATAACTTTCAGAAAATGTTCTTTTTTCTATCCTATATTTTAATTCAGTTCTTCTTCTTCATGTACCATGTCCTTTCAGAACGTTGGCTACCATAATAGCTATCTTAATTTTATTCACTGCCACCCTAAATAGCATGCTTGTATCAACACCATACCGATCTCGCAAGTTCTTCAACCATGAGGTTCCTCTTCGTCCTGGACTGCGTTTGCCTGCTATTTTTTCTTGCATGATATTTTGTAGCAACTTATATTTGGGACCTCTCATTACATGTCCAAAATATTCCAGCTTTCTCTGCCTGATACTTTTTATGATCTCAATAGTCTTGCTGAGACGTTCTAGTATTGTGGAGTTTCGAATCTTCTCCACCCAGGAAACTTTTAAAATTCTTCTGTAGCACCACATTTCGAAAGCCTCAAGGCGATTTTATTCACAGTCCACGACTCGACACCATAAAGTAAGACCGAAAATACGTAGCAGCGAAGTAGGCGGGGATCCTCAATGCCAATTTTAGGTCTCTGTTACATAACACCTTGGGGACATCCTTCTAAAAACAGCTCTAGCATACTCTATTCTAGATCTAATTTTGCCGTGACTTTCTGCGTTACAATTTAATTGCTGTCCAAGGTAAACGATTTTATCAACTTGTTCAAGTTTGGTATTATTTACATATATAGACGGTCTTATATGTTGTTGTTTACTTATTACGAGTATTTTGGTTTATCCGTATGTTAAGATCCAGATCTGCCTCCCTACAACTCTCAACGACACTATCAAGTATTGTTTGCAGATCTTCTTGACTAGAACCTAGGAGTACTGTATCGTCCGCATATCGCAAATTAATTAATTTAATTTAATTAATTTAATTCAGTAGGTACATACATTCCAAGTATAATCTGTTAATCCAGGAATAGGAAAATTGACAAGGTTTAATTTGTTTACGGCAACCATAGATATAATATGTAACATTTTATGTCGTAATTTTAGTTGAAGTTGATAAAATTATTTCAAATTTACTAAATTATTTACCTTTTAAAATTTAAACTACGGTTATGTTATAGCTTGTCACAAATGTCTTAATCCGAGCCTGTGTTTTCCATTTTAAACATGGCGATCGCTTGCTGACACACTTAAAAGGCGGCACCTGAGACTGGGCATTCTGATTGATATTTTTATTCTATGGCGAAATGATGAAGTTGACCGGAATCGATGAAAATTGAAAACAACAACATAGAAATGCCGTGTTTAATCACGATAGAGTAGCACTCAATTCAGGTGGCAATCGATTATAGTTATTATTATTATTATCATCGAGCAAAAAGACAAAAGAGGGAATCTAATCCTTATGAAAAGAAGACCAAAAAAGTGGCCTCTAATGGCGGTCATATCCGGAAATGCGAATGCGCCAAATTTAAATTTTCCGACACTTATTAACAATAGCTATATAATATTTTTCAGAATGTGTCTTAGACGAGAAAGTTTTAATTAATTATTAACGATAATAGTCTAAAATGCGACACAATTGTTAAAAAACTTCAATATAAATAAGATTTCATGTGACATTCATTTGGGACAAACAATAACATAACCCAACTAAATTTGATGTCAAACAAGGAGAGAGACTCTCTTTCCTTGTTTAAAGTGGCCTCTAAAGATCGCACTTCCTGTCTAACAATATTTTTGCCCCCACTACCTTTACATTCCCTCTTTTGTCTTTTTGCTCGATGCTTATTATATTTGTTTTTGAAAACAGGCCGGATTCTATTCATCTTTTGACTTATATATCTATGACAGGACAACGTATGTCAGTATCAAATAGATAAAAAATAGATACTAATAGCATTATTTACCTATTTCCATTAGTTTTTTCCATATTTTCTTTAGCATCCTGTGCGCATTCTTGATCCATTCTTCCACAAGCCTTAATTGATTTGTTTCCTAAAAAATAAAAATAATCCTTAAAAAGTTACAGATTAAATTAATATATTAATATTAATATATATTATTGTGATATTTAAGCTAATTAATTAATTAATTAATTAAAATTATTTAAATGATATGATTATGACTCTATCACACTTTTTAATTCTCTTATCTCAGGGTTAAATTCGTGCTTCAATATCTATGCTTCACATGTGAAAGGTAAGGTCCAAAGAATACCGGAATAATAAAAAACACATATGATATAACACTATATATTAAAATAAAAATAATGAAATAAAATTCACACTCAAATGTTTTCAATAAACAATATCTCATATAATGATTCTTAAAATTTTATTCTACGTACGTGAACCTTCAAAATTAATGGTATAAACAATATTAGTTAAAATCTCAAAATCCCAATTATTATTCAAAATCTCCTAATCAAAAATTTATATCTTTTCTAAAGTAATTGTAAAAATTGTGTTATCAATAAAAGAAAAACTGCAGAAAACAAAACGATCTCTCTCTGATGATGAGTGGTCCAAATCCTTGTTCCTGGTAGCCTATATTATCTATTCTTAGCAGCTCCCTAGGTACTCAGCAATCTTACAACAAATTGTTGCAAGTATATCGTCTATAATGATCTCCTTCAAAAGCACGAATCATTCAAATTATGATAGCCTTTCTCCTCTCGATAAACTGAATCTCTCGTTGGCCCGAGTGAAAAATGACTCTTGGAATATCTTCTCTTTACGATAAACTGAATCTCTCGTTGGCCTGAACAGTGACTCTTGGAATATAAGTAGAAAAATATGACACAATATTTTGCTGCTTCAGCTTGTGTCAGATACACTAACTCCACAAAAACTCACTAACATTCAACACTACTGCTTGCTATCTCTCGGGAACCACCAGAGAACAATGACTGTTCGTCTTACACACTTCGAAAACTAACTGACTATCTTTTCTCTTTAAAAAACTAACTAAAGTCTTATTCTTAAACCAATCATCCCACCTCTTTCAATCTCATCCAATCAAAACGCTTCATACATCTCCCATTTCTTCATTTCGATAACACACAAATTTTAACCTACAATTATAAAATTTCCTAAAACTATTTTACAAAATAATCTTTTCCTACCAATTCCTAAGAACTAACAAAAACATATCTTTCTAAAATCTATTCTATTGTCCTAATTACTGCACAACATTTATTTGGAAAAACCGCTTCAATTGTCTATGGATTTCACTTAAAATTATGCGGGTCACTCAAGTATATTATAACAAAGAAAATAATTTATGCATATCTTACGTTTTGTTCAATACAGGTAATCCAAAAATTTAAAGACTTTCCTTCTTCGAAATGTTTGTTGGTTATTATCCTGCTTATCTGAATTATTTTAATTTTTTGGAACTTTGAAATATTTTAAGCAAACCAATATTTTTCTTGATTTTACATATCATAACAATATATATACATATATATATATATATATTATATATATATTATATATATATTATATATATATATATATATATATATATATAAGAAAAAAGAAGTACTTGTGACTCGTTTGGAAAAATTTCTAATATTTTTATATTTAATGGTGTTTTTTATAAACAAATTTTTGGTAGCCCTATGGGATCTAGTCTTTCACCCATTCTAAGTAGCTATGTCATGGATGATGTTCAGTGATTGTATCAATAATTGCACTTTTTTCATTCCATTTATCAAAAGATATGTAGATGATCTAGTTTTGGCACTTCCTAAACATAAAATTTTTGAAACAGTCAACATTTTAATATTGTTCTGAAGCTATTTTCTTGTGGCATTTGTAAATTAATTACTATTAAACTGGGAATAAGCCACAATTAAAGATAAAAATACATTTATTGACGTTTCAATTTCCACTTCGGAAATCGTTCTCAAAATACAAACAGTAAATTAAACAAATTTTGTTTTTTGTTACATAGTGAAAAATTCTTCTAATAATTTAATTTTATCTGACTCATTTATATTGACAATTCAGACATACATTATGCATTTTAAAGTAGACGACTTTAAAATGATATTGCCAATATTGTTGAGTTGCGCTCCTGGGACGACTTTACTTATAAGATAGTTCATTCGATTACATGAAATCAACTTTAACTTGAGAATATCCGTCAGAAAAAATCATAGCATGTAATTCGTCTTTAAAAAGACAAACACATGACATGATGACAGTAAAATTCTCCTGTTAGTGATTCCATAGTAAATTATGAGGGAAAACCAGGAAAAAACCTCATAATACTATCCCGACATTGTAAGTATTTGTTCGTGAATTTAGTTTACCTTCAACAAACATCAAAATTCTGATTTTATATGTTACGTTATTTAAAAAACATAAATGATGTATCCTCTATATGTTACTGACTTACTAATACTGGTATTTTCTTATTAATAACTTCCTCTTTCAATATTGGTAACCAGATCCTACTACATTCTGCCGAAGAATTTGCGACACAATTGGCCTCATTTAACATAATTAGAGCCGCTTCTTTGATTTTTCTTTTTTTACCATCCGTTTCTTTTAGGACTACATTTGAATTACTCCATTGAACCCTATGTTCATTATCCCATGCGTGTTTACAGATTTGAGATCTATCAAATTCTTTATTTTTAATATAAGATTGATGTTCACTTATTCTAACATTTAATGGCCTTGATGATTCACCTAAATAAAACTGATCGCATTCACAAGGTATTTTATAAATGCAATTCTTTGTCCTTTCTTGTTCATTGTTAGGTTTGGTTTTGGACAAAATAGATCTCAACGTGTTTGTTGTTTTGAATGTTGTTGAAATGTTGAATTTATTTCCTATCCTTTTAAGTTTTTCTGATAGTCCTTTTATATACGGTATTGTTATTTTCCTCATATTATTCCTTGTGTATGCTGTAGGATCTCGTTCTAAGTTGTTCTGTTCTATTCGATCGATTGTTGAAAATTCCTTATTTATAAACGATAAAGGATAATCATTTTTTAATAAAACAGATGTTAACAAATGTTTCTCCTCCAAGAACGAATTTTCATTAGAACAAGTAATTTTGGCTCTATCGTATAAGGATTTAATTATTCCCTTTTTTACATTAATATTGTGATTTGATTTGAAATTTAAATATCTATTGGTGTGTGTTGGTTTTCTATACACCTGAGTCTCATATCTAGTATCGTTCTTAGAGATTAAAACATCCAGGAAAGGTAGCGTGTTATTATATTCCTTTTCCATGGTAAATGTTATTGTCTCTTCTTTATCGTTTATATCATTTAGGAATGTGTCCAACAACTCTGATCCATGAGGCCATATTGAGAATACATCATCTACATACCTCCACCATACTGTGGGTTTGAAATTTTGTTTAGAAATGATATTTGTTTCAAAATCTTCCATAAATATATCGGCTAAGAATGGAGATAAACTAGAGCCCATTGCTAGACCAAAATTTTGTTTATAGAATTCATTATTTAGTTGAAAATATGTATTATCAGTACATAATGTTAATAACTCCATTATAGCCGATATGTTTAGTCTTGTTCTAGTTGCCAATGAATCATCACTCTCTAATTTTGTCTTGACTATATTTAAAGTCTTATTTAATGGCACATTCGTAAATAAACTATTTATGTCAAAACTTACCAAAGTATGATTTGAATTAAATTCAATATTTGATAATTTATTTAAAAAATGTTGTGTATTTTTTATGAATGTGTCATTTTTATTTGTAAATGGTTTTAAAATATTTAATAAAAATTTTGATAGTTCACTACAAGGAGAATTCATGGTACTACAAATGGGTCTAAGTGGTATATTCGTTTTATGAATTTTCGGTACTCCATAAAAATGAGGAGTCTTACTGTAATGAGGTGTAATTAATCCTCTCTGATAATTTGTTAAAACATCTTTAAACTTGAATAAAGTTCTATATATTTTGTTTTCCAAAGGCTTTGTTGGATCTTTTGTTAATTTTGTATAAGGTCCGTTTATTAATAGATCTTTAATTTTATTTTCGTATTGAATTTTATCCATTATCACAGTTGCATTCCCCTTGTCTGCTGGTAGTATGATTAATATAATGGAGTTATTAACATTATGTACTGATTAATACATATTTTCAACTAAATAATGAATTCTATAAACAAAATTTTGGTCTAGCAATGGGCTCTAGTTTATCTCCATTCTTAGCCGATATATTTATGGAAGATTTTGAAACAAATATCATTTCTAAACAAAATTTCAAACCCACAGTATGGTGGAGGTATGTAGATGATGTATTCTCAATATGGCCTCATGGATCAGAGTTGTTGGACACATTCCTAAATGATATAAACGATAGAGAAGAGACAATAACATTTACCATGGAAAAGGAATATAATAACACGCTACCTTTCCTGGATGTTTTAATCTCTAAGAACGATACTAGATATGAGACTCAGGTGTATAGAAAACCAACACACACCAATAGATATTTAAATTTCAAATCAAATCACAATATTAATGTAAAAAAGGGAATAATTAAATCCTTATACGATAGAGCCAAAATTACTTGTTCTAATGAAAATTCGTTCTTGGAGGAGAAACATTTGTTAACATCTGTTTTATTAAAAAATGATTATCCTTTATCGTTTATAAATAAGGAATTTTCAACAATCGATCGAATAGAACAGAACAACTTAGAACGAGATCCTACAGCATACACAAGGAATAATATGAGGAAAATAACAATACCGTATATAAAAGGACTATCAGAAAAACTTAAAAGGATAGGAAATAAATTCAACATTTCAACAACATTCAAAACAACAAACACGTTGAGATCTATTTTGTCCAAAACCAAACCTAACAATGAACAAGAAAGGACAAAGAATTGCATTTATAAAATACCTTGTGAATGCGATCAGTTTTATTTAGGTGAATCATCAAGGCCATTAAATGTTAGAATAAGTGAACATCAATCTTATATTAAAAATAAAGAATTTGATAGATCTCAAATCTGTAAACACGCATGGGATAATGAACATAGGGTTCAATGGAGTAATTCAAATGTAGTCCTAAAAGAAACGGATGGTAAAAAAAGAAAAATCAAAGAAGCGGCTCTAATTATGTTAAATGAGGCCAATTGTGTCGCAAATTCTTCGGCAGAATGTAGTAGGATCTGGTTACCAATATTGAAAGAGGAAGTTATTAATAAGAAAATACCAGTATTAGTAAGTCAGTAACATATAGAGGATACATCATTTTGTTTTTTAAATAACGTAACATATAAAATCAGAATTTTGATGTTTGTTGAAGGTAAACTAAATTCACGAACAAATACTTACAATGTCGGGATAGTATTATGAGGTTTTTTCCTGGTTTTCCCTCATAATTTACTATGGAATCACTAACAGGAGAATTTTACTGTCATCATGTCATGTGTTTGTCTTTTTAAAGACGAATTACATGCTATGATTTTTTCTGACGGATATTCTCAAGTTAAAGTTGATTTCATGTAATCGAATGAACTATCTTATAAGTAAAGTCGTCCCAGGAGCGCAACTCAACAATATTGGCAATATCATTTTAAAGTCGTCTACTTTAAAATGCATAATGTATGTCTGAATTGTCAATATAAATGAGTCAGATAAAATTAAATTATTAGAAGAATTTTTCACTATGTAACAAAAAACAAAATTTGTTTAATTTACTGTTTGTATTTTGAGAACGATTTCCGAAGTGGAAATTGAAACGTCAATAAATGTATTTTTATCTTTAATTGTGGCTTATTCCCAGTTTAATAGTAATTAAGTCAACATTTTCAACAATCATAATCAACATATACAATTTACAGTTGAGGAAGAGGTAGATAATTCTCTACCATTCCTTGACATGAGAATTGTAAGAAATACAGACAATATGTTGAAAACTAGATGGTTCAGAAAACCCATATGTAGTAATAGATTTATAAGCTATTACTCTAATCATCCAAATAAAATGAAAATGAACCTTATAACAGGATTAAAGGAACGTGTTTTAAAACTTTCTCATCCAGACTACCTACAAGAAGATCTTCATTTGTTAAAAAATATTTTAATTGAAAACTCTTATCCTCCTGATATGCTACATAGGATGCTTTTTTCTAATTTATTAAATATAAATAACTTAACACCATTTTTTGCTAAATCTCAAAACACTGTATCCAACAATAAAAACATATATTATCATTCACTACCTTTTATACCATCATTAACTCCTAAATTAATACAAACATTAAAGGTTATTGACAATATAAAAATAGCAACAAAGAACATCAAAACTATTTCATCTTTATATTCCAAAACTAAATATCCTATAGACAAATTAGATCAAACAAATGTAGTATACAGCATTATTTGTACTCAGTGTGAAGCTGAGTATATTGGTGAGACTGGAAGAAATCTCTCAAATCGCATTATTTCTCACAAGAGTGATTGTAGAATTAAGAAACCATCTTGTGCGTTGGCAGAGCATGTAATAGACAAAGACCATATTATGGATTTTGATAATATTAAAATTTTATGTAATGAAAGTAATAAATTTAAAAGAACTTTTTTGGAAATGGTTTGTATTAGCAAAAGTGATAATAATTTAAACAAAAGGTCAGAAATTCAAAATTTAAGCAAAATTTATAATTATATAATTTCTATTTAATTTATGCAGTCAGTAAAATATCACATTTTGAATTTTCCATGTATTTGTTACATTTTTTCGGGCATCTATCAATGGTGAATAAATCTTCTTCTTTTTTGTTACTTAACAAAGAAGAATTTTTTAAACAAAATTTTATTTTTGACAATATGTCAAAAATAAAAATTTTTAAGTTAGTATTTATGTCATTTTAGGCTGGTTGTAGGTATTCTATTTTTGTTTATAAATTCAATTTTTTTTTCTTAAGAAACTTCATCTAAATTTTTCAGAGAAACATTTATTAGAATAAGGCATTTTTTTATTAATATTTTTTGTATTTATTATGTAAGCAGTAGTTTTATATAAAAAACTAATTTTATTTGGTGAGTTAACAAAAAATTTTTTATTTCTAGTTCAACTTTGTAAGACATTTTGTATTTTTTAGAAGCTCTTGATACAAATTGTAATCACAATTGAAAGCTCGAGTAAAAAATAGTCAACAAATAGCCCCTTTTATTGACTCCAACCCATCAAAAACAGTGTTATATATAAATATATATATATATTATATATATATATATATATATATATATATTAAGTATAAATATATAATATACGTATAAACCAAGCGACTTACTAGGTAAATAGTAGGGAATGCATTTACATTTCTCAAATGTGTAGTTTGACTGACATTCCAAATTGCAATTAGTCTGAGTGTAAGATCTGAAACAATAAAGGCATTTTAGATATATTTGTGGTAACTCGAACATAGAATATTTTGAATTTCAATCTGAGAATATTTAAAAAAAAACCTGCAAAATCAGGCAAGCTTAATAACAGACAAACAATGAAAAACCTTTTTTACTAGAATATGTTATTGTAATTTGCTTTAGAAGAGTGAATCCAAATATGTTATTTGAATATTACTGTAGAGATGTACCTAAATTCGGACTCAGGCCCCAAAGGAAACTTTTAGCCATTTTAGCCTTCCTGATTAGTTTATGCTTTCGCCGCCATGTATTGGAGCGCTTGCGTCACTCAGTCAAACTTTCGCACAATGAGATGACAACAAACGTTTTGAGCGCCAACAAACAATTAAGACTGACAGAATACTGAAAGGTAAATGATAATATCTATCTCTATATGTTTAATAGAAATAAATATGGATCATGTTTATATACAAGTTACTCTAATCGGACCCCATACTTGTTCCTAAATGGGACTTCCCATTTTTAATGTAGAAATCTCAGTTTCCACCGCATATAACGTATTCTTCTGGTATTCTGTTTCAGAATGACTAAGCCAAAGCCAAAGCAGAAGGGGTGGAGTCAATCAAAAGTGAAAGAAGGTACAAATGCTATTAGAAGTAAAAGCGATAGGTTTGAAAAAAGCAAGTAAGCAGTGATGTTGTAACCTCGGAAACCTTTCTTGGATGGTGCTCGAAAGGTCATCAATGGAGATACTGCGAACGGCAGCCAAATGGTTGGTGGAGAGCGAGTCATGGATTCAAAACTAGCTTTTGGAACCGGGAATGGGTCCAACGGACGAAATAAGTAAAGATAGGAAAAGATAAGATATACGAGAAAAGATACAGAAATAAACAAAAAGATAGATGGGTAAAATTACCAAAGATAAGATAAGATAGAAACAGGGCGCCACTTTTTGAGGTTTAAGGAGAAAATTAAGAAACTTTAGAAAAGAAAAGAGATAAGGAAAGATATTTAGGCTCAGAGATCAAACCCAAGAAAAGATATTAACAGTTACTAATTAAATAAATTTGGTCAACACCCTACATAAGCAAATAATAAATATATTAGGTTGACTCCGTCCACCTACTTACATACAAAACTTAATCAGCTTGATCTTTCTTATGGTCGAAGATATAATAATAATTTAATATAATAAGCAAATATTCAGAGGTATTGTTATATCAGGAAACTTATTAGGAGTCGACAAATAAAATTCATACATAAAACAAAAACAATATATTAAACACCACAATGATATAGGTAGCTGAATGTACACACAAGTAATAAAAAATGCACCATCAATTGATCAATGGTTGTATACATATAGAAATGAACAGTATTATAATTAGGAAATACCTTAACAAATACCATATAATGAAATTATACACAAATTAAATTATCAGCGAAGAGAGCTTGTTAGTGATTAAAAATATTCTACTAAAACTGATTGGAGAAAGCTTTCTTTGCTGTGTAGGGGCTTACCTCGAGATAATACAGTAAATAAAAAAATGAATAACAAATAACACAAACTTAATTAAAGTTAAATTCAAAGGATACAAAAAGGTTACAGAAATAAAAATTTCACCAAACCGCACTTGGTTAAGTTGATTATCTGTTCGCACTGTTATTTAATGATTAACTGAGAATTAAATGTTCGTAATTTAAAAGTACTTAAAAACTGATTGAAAGTTCATATGAAATTATTGAATGTTCCTTGAATTCAATAGTTAAATCGGTAGTTAATTTTAACTACAGGTGAAGACATGTTTGAAAGTAGATTCGCCCAGATAATTGAAGATACTATGATTATGATAACTTACAGTAATTCTAGATGACTGCTAACTGCACTGAAGCTATATACTATACTTGTATCAAGCACTAAAGTTATTTAAATTAAACGGTACTTGATACCAATTTTTAATCTAATGTGATATTAGATAAAAAATAGTATATACACACTTAGAGAAAAATTCAGAGACGGTAATTTAGGCAATCGTCCTCCGTCAAGGATCGTCCACCCAGAAGTGACCTGGTTCCTCTAAAAATTTCACAAACTTCCACAAAAAAAAGGGATATCGCCCACTTAAAAATGATAGGCCGGACAGTATCCATTTCTAAGAAGTTAAATTTCTAACGACTATCGGAAAGTTCGAGGTAAATACGGTACTATGATCTGTTTTTTAACCAGGAGGAGTAATTCAAATTTTCCGCTCCGTAATGCTTGTTTGCAATTGGTCCAACCGCAGGAAAGTTTATTCCTCTAAATTATGACATATTGACACTAATGATATTTGTGAAATTTATTTATTATTATTATTTTCCTCTAATATATAAATCGATTTCTGACTCTTTAAGTTGTTAGTAATAACTTGGACTTGGTGATATGCGAATAGTATTTAATGTGATATTTTTCTAGATGATATTTATACTAAATATAGTTTAAAGTGTTTATAAATTTATAAATGTATGTTAGTTATATCTAATTATCATAAGAAAAACTGCAACTATCTTTTAAATTTAGTGTATACTTGTTAAGAAGCATTTCCATTTTGTTTTCATCACAATAAAAGAACATTAGTAAAGTAATGTTGTGTTTTAGTTTGATTGTATTGATACAGTTGGTTTTGTTCTTCCTGGTTGTAGATCATCACAAGAAAACTGCAAAATTATGCAAGAATGTAACATAATAGATTGGATTTGTTGATTATCTCACAGAAATTCAGTATTTTTTAGTAAATTTTATTTGTTGATAACAAATGGGACAAACTCACTGTCAAAATTAAACAAGAATCCAGCATTAAAGAAATTGTAAGTACACACTTATTTATACAAAGTATCTGGTAAGAAAAAAAACTAGGTTCAAGAAATTGATCATACCAGAATAAGAATATGGTCTACTATTAAAAGACAAATTTCTGAGAAAAACCATACTTAGATCTGTAACATTAGTGACTCTCCCGATCAAAATATTCTTAAATTATAATTAAATACCATAGACTCAAGAGATCTATAAAACTGGATCACCCGATATTTAAATATATATACATGGGACCAAATGTGAAAAAAGTCCTTTTTTATTGCAATTTTGAGGTAGTTCTTCTATATTTTGAGGTAGTCGGTAGATTGCAATAAAATGTACTAATCGTAAACACGACCATCGGCGTCTCAGCCACAGGGGTTAGAAATAATATAATATATTAACTATAAAAAAATGTTACAATGTTTCAAAAACTACGCTAAATAGATTATCCAACATGAAATACGCGCTTCAGAGAAAGTAGTGAATGTTAAAAGGGGCAGATGTACAGTTTTAAGCAATAGCCTTGAGAATGAGAAAAATATAAGCAATAATGGTGTCATTTAACAATCATACCCTAATGGGCACGTCCATCTCTAGGTGCTAAAAGATATAAACACGCGGAAACCTCGCACAAGCAGTAATGTAATATACATCAAACGATGTTATATTGTGAATGGGTTAATGCCTAATCCTAAAATTAACATACATGTATGTTTTTTACTTAACAACTATTTATTGTTCTTAAAATAGGTACATTTCTAGAATAAAATTAGAATTGTTTAGAAAATATTTTCGTATCGTTAAATCAGTTATCTCATTAACAAATAATAACGTCGTTAGAAATAATTACGATTCATATCAATTTTCAGAAATGTTCTCTTTGTTTACATCAGCGACTTCTTAAAATAACCACCATTATCAAGATTAATACAAAGGGTCATTCATGTCAACTTCGCGCACGACAAATCTCAATTAAAACGTAGTGACTAAATGTACATTTGGTGTTTTCCTAATTATTATAGTTAATGTCTGCGTGTAAAAGGTCGCTAATATTTTACAATATTGACTACAACCGTTTGTCACTGTGAAGTAGTAAAGTTAATAACAGTGTTTGGAGGTAGTAGTTCGTGTGCTTTTGTCAGAAATGTGGTGAATAAACTTACTTTTTATGTGTATTTTGTAAAAAATTAAATTACAAGAAAGTTTTCTTTTTTATTTATTTATACAGTGTGTTCCTACGAAAATTTGATTCCCCAGAAACTCAGAAACTTCACCAAAAGTTTCTTCAAAATTTCAGTCAAGAAAACACGTCAATTTGTATTGGGATGGGAAAGAATTTTCATGCAAAATTTATACCCTTAAATGTAACCCCCTACTGCCCCCATCAACCCCTGTTTTTTTGAAGTGTGATCGAGTGGCACATCATTTAAAAGGTATTTTTTTTTTCACTACATGACACTCTGTTTTTTTTTAATTTTCAAAATAACTTTAAAGATAATTTTGGATTTAACTTATTTATTGGTTAAACACAGTAATAACAAAAACCACAAAATTTCATCAAATTAAATAATTAAATGTTCGAAATGACATCCTGTGACCTCCATACAATAATACAGTATATTTTCAAAACCTCTTCGTACATGTGCAAATACCTCCGGGGTCAATAATCGGCATTCTCTCATAATTCTTTGTCGAAACTCTGCAAGATCTGCAGGCAGAGTGACGTATATTTTTTGGGTTTCCCCACAAAAAAGTCCAAGGGCGAAAGATCCGGTGATCTGGTCGGTCACTCTATTGGACCCCTTCTGTCAATCCAACGTCCTGGAAAACGTTGATTCATAAATTGTCTTACGCGTATTAATGTGTTGTGCCCCGTCCTGTTGAAAACTGAGTTCATCCTCTAAAAGATTATTATTAGATTCCAATGTGTCAGTGATGAGCGGATCAATAATGCCTTCTAACAAATTTAAATTTGTTAGAAGTAACACCAGAATTTAAATTTAAATTTGTTAGAAGGATTTAAAGTTGTTCCGTTGAAATTTCCTTCAACAAATAATGGTCCGATAACGTGATTCCCTAAATTGCCAACCCATACATTGAATTTCTGAGGTGTTTGTGTATGTCTTAAAAAAAAAAGAAAAAAAAATATCTTCAACGCAGTGGCGCGTTGATAT